GACCGATTTACTAGCTGACGTAAAAAGAGGTGGCCCAAACCGAGCCCCCTGTCCTTTACCCGCCGAAACAAGTTGGTACAGCTGCACCATTCCCACTCTGACGCCCAGACAAACGTGGAAAATATTTTGTGGAATTTCCGCACCTCCATGCGTGAGTAATGAAGTACCTGCAACACGTATCATACCTTGGTATAGAGAAACAGATTGCAAACGGTGACTCTGAAAAATGAATCAGGAGGCATCGTTCCATTTCAACGCTTTTTCCTGTAAATGTTTCGCCTGCCCTTTCTAGTATTCGGCACTGTCCTGTTAACAATAGATCGGAACCCTCAAGTATTTATCTAGCTTGTTGTCAAAGGCATGTTGGTGGAATGGCCTCGCTTTGCTGCCCACGATCAATGCCATAGCCCGAGAAACTTGGCCCAGTTTATGCCACTCCTAATACAGCCATGCCTCTGCTTCTGAATACGGTAAAAATAATGTCCTCCACTCGGATATGCAGTGAAAGTAACTTTCATGCTCTACAAACTCGCGCGTCCTGTGTACAAGTTTAACAGTACGGGCGCTCAGGGAGGGACAGCCTTACACATGCTAGACAGAGCTGCTTAGCATATAAAAAAATCACAGCATATCCTCGGAGTGAACGGTGATGAGTGGGGCGAAGCGTACGGACGTCTGTTTGTCTGTCTGTCTGTCTGTCTGTCTGTCTGTCTGTCTGTCTGTCTGTCTGTCTGTTGTCTGTCTGTCCGTCCGTCCGTCCATCCGTCCATCCGTCCGTCCACCCATCTGTCTGTTTGTGTATATGCTGCGCTGGCTTCGCCGGAGGGACGCTGGACTGCCCTAGATCATAAGGAGCTTCACCCAAAAAAGTATATATGCATTATTGGGTTGTACTTCACGTGATGTCTCAATAGCGTGCCGACACTTCGCTTTCCAAAGTACATTCATTCAATTTCATTCGTTTAATGTAATCTGAAAAGTTAAAACCAGAAGGTGCAACAGCCTGCAAAACTCGCAAGTCTTGATCTTCCGGCCAACTATATTATAATCATTATCATCGTCACCACGATCACCACCACCACCACCACCAAAAGCAGTGGCACAATAAGAAAAAAGTTTTTTTCTGCAAATACGCATTTCTAACAGAACAGTAAACGTAGGAAACTTGTCGACTATTCTACAGAGCACTTGACGTTCAGACGTATGCGTTGGTCACTTCGCTGGCTCCAGCATCACCATGCGCAAAAGCATGATATATCCTTATAACTTTCTTAGGCAGGTCTGGACAGTATCCTAATCTCAGATATTCAATAGAATACTTAAGCGAAACGCAGACAACTTTTGATGCTTGTGCGCTGCTCTAGACTATTTTTGAAAATGCAAACCCCTTTATCATATGTGAAGATACTGTTGTAATTAAGGCAAATATTCGTGAAACAAACGAATAAGTTCTTTAGCCAAAGAAAAGAGTTTATTAAAAGGGCTCATTTCATTGTTAGGCAACCGCTATTTTGTGATATCATTATAAGATTGAGCAAAGAGCCCAGTATAATCAAAACGTCTGCTCACTAAAAATGGACTTGGAAAGAGATAAGAGGAAATAAAAGAATGCCACAATTTCAAAGTATCAGGGACGAAGCACCGTAGAGTCGATCCTTCTTCCTGCGATATCCGTTCTCCTGGCTTGCACGCGCACGGGAGCGCCGGCCGCTCCAAGCGCTCCAGTCACAAGAATAGGAGGAGAACGATGATCGCGGGTGCGCTCGTGGCACGCTGGTTCGCTTCGGCGCCTCAAGAGCTAAGAAACGCGCTCGCTACCGGCTTTCTCTCTCTCCTGATAATGGAGTGCACTTCGTTATGAAAGAGATAGATAGATAGATAGATAGACAGACAGACAGACAGACAGACAGACAGATAGATAGATAGATAGATAGATAAATAGATAGATAGATAGATTGTACAGGGGTTATAACTCTCCTGGAGCTTCGTCCTCTCGTCATCATTCACTTCGTTTATATGCTGTGACGTTTTTGGGCATTACAGAAATAATAAGTCGCCTCTTGTACACCTGGACAAAGAAATGATTTCCTTTTCGATACCATCAACATTTTCGTGCTGCTGAGAGGTGTTTGGAGCCAAAGCAAGGAGATTATCAGCTCGGGTGCACTCCCTTATTGATATTTAGCACACGCTTATTGATAAACATCCGTCGCCCGTAATCGAACTCTTGATAACACCAACACGGACAGCCACTACTCTCACTTTAGTGGTACCGCCTGTAGGAAGTCTGTCGGCCTCGCCAAGAAGATCATTTAAAAGCATGAAATTACAAAAAGAAGAACAAAAATGCTACTGGTATCCATGCACGAGGGCATAAAATGAGGGCAGTGGCACGCATTTTCGTGTATGCCGGCTATGTGGTGGGCCCCACTTCATTCCACTCTCCGTACGTGGTCCGAATTCAGCAGGCAGGTGGTGCTCTGAGGGAGATATAATGCGTTTCAGGTATTTTTCCTCTGGGCGATGCAGAGAGCACCATTTATTGTCATTATTGGTAATCGCATTATGGAGTAATATCAGAGGTTAGGTGATTATGAGAACTTCGGTTGGAAAACAGCGGCTAGTAAAAGTGGAGTAGTAAAATGTTTTGAATTTCTAGGACAAATATTGAGCGGAGGTGAATTCTCACGTGAAAACGTGTGCTATGGGTACAACACTTGAATTTCAAAGTACAACGTTTTTGCGTGAAATATAGCTTTTACGAAGCATACCCACAGAGGCCTTTCATCAACCACATTCTGTCAGAGAGTTATTACTGTCGCATGGTAGTGCGAACGAAGTACGCCAGAGTCATGTCAGTAAATATTCAACTTCTGATTGAATGACTCAACGCCGAGAAAACAAAACAAAACAAACCACTGGCAGTACAATCGTCGTGGCTAGAATGGTTTTCGGTCGCTGATAATCTCATCCTTGGTTGATTGATAGATTGATATGTGGTGTGTAACGTCCAAAAACCGCCATATGACTATGAGAGACGCCTTAGTAGAGGGCTTCGGAAATTTTCACCACCTGAGGTTCGTTAACGTGAACCCAAGTCTGAGCACACGGGCCTACAGCTTTTCTGCCTCCTATCGGAAATGCAGCCACCGCTGGTGAGATTCGATCCCGCGACCTGCGGGTCAGCAGCCGAGTATACCTTAGCCACTAGACCACTGCGATTGGGATGATCCTTGGTTGAAAGCGTTGGGTTTTGGACGCAAGTTACGATACATTCGAGAATCACAACCGCTTGGCACGTACGCCTCATAACGTCCTCCCCTGTTCGCGTCTTGGAGACCAGTCTATTTAATGCCCGGTTTACACAAGAAAGCTAACCACAGTTCTGACCAACCATGGTTAACCACGTTGAACCACAGTTAACGCCAACCACGGTTCACCGATGTTACACAGCGCCAAAACATCCTTGGTTATGGCCGCCAGCACATCCTCCATAGACGCCGCTATTTTCTCAATAAACTACTTAAACGCCATTGACAAGCTCGGTTTCCTATAACCTTAGTTAGGAACATTACCGAGCTTTTACGTACGGTGTAACATAAGCGAACCTCAGTTACACATAACCGAGACCACGTCAACCGTGGTTTAGGCTGAATGTGTATCAAAGGTATAGACCATATCATGTGTAGATGCAAGGCGCAGCTCGCGGAAAGTGATAACAGCCGTAAGAGTTTTAGTCGCTGTGACCAGCATGAAAGAAACCAGAAAAAAGAGAGAAACACATAAAAAAGAAACGGAAGGCCGGCAAGCTCACGAGGAGGTAGTATATTTGGTGTGCTACCATGCACTTGAGATTGGGGAAGAGGGCGTTGAAATAGAGAGAAAAAATAAATATTGGGAAAATAAAATCAAAGCAATGGTCAAGACTCATGAGAGCGTTCCACTCAAAGCCGTGTGAATATCCTTCCAGAATCTATGAAATGTCGATTCAATAGTGCTCATGTCATTGAAAAGTTTCAGGGCTGTAAATATTATCATCCCGTAGCATGCAGACAGTTTATTGCATATGACGAATGGTACACAAACTACAAAAAAACAATGTACTCTAAATGTTTCTGATGAAATTAAAAAAATACCATTAGCACAACCGAAGTGTGATGACCACCATAAATAATGCGTCACCAGTGAAAACACACCTAATTTTAGTAATACGTTAGAGCAAAGGAAACGGACTTTGATCACATTCAGTGGATTCATACACTGACTCGCAAGAAACCGTCACTACAACCAACCATCCGCTGAGTCCCACCAGTGCCTGCTCACCATAAAGGAGTTAATGCGCCTTTTCTAAAAGCACAAAGCACTTGTTACGTATCCTTCGGGGCAACTCCAAAACCACACTCAACATGCGGAACGCAAGAAGGCTGACAAAAAAAAAAGAGGAGGGTCTGTCGAAGCACACAAAATTATAAGGTCAGCGCAATTATTTGTGTAACACTGTAAGCGTATCACCAAAAAACTAACTACATGATGTAAGAGGTTTGATCAAAGACACAAAATTAACCACTCGTTTTTACTCCCCTTCAGTGGCTTTTATTTTCTGTGGAAGCAGTTAGTACTTACAAAAATCACTCGACATTTAGATGTCTCGTGCAAAGAGTCCCTTGAGCTAGTAAACAAAATTCTGTGCATCAAACCAAACAAAAGATTCGTGAGAGAAAAGTTTGAGTAATCTAGTTGTGATTCTCATATTTGTAACAATGTCCTCCTTCAAAAGCGGATCCAGCTTTATGAGTGCATATTTTCTACGGGTGTTTCAAGATTAAAGAAAAAATACACTTGTAAATGTTTCAAAAACATTCAAGCATGTTGAGGTTCTGTGTGACCGACTATTGCCAAGTACGCGCTAGTGCGTAGTAACAGTGATAATTTATAAATAACGAACAGAATGTGGAAACACCCCAGGCGGGTTTACGCCAATATGTTCATTGCTAACGCACCTTTCCGGTGGCAATTAGGCGCGCCAGTTCCGAGGCTGGCTTGAGGAGGAGGGGTTCGGTGACGGGAGGCAGTGTGCCGCGACCGGGTTGGCGCCGGCAGGCATGCACGGCACCGCACGTCGCGTCCACCACTATGTCCACCAAGCGCCTCACCAATCCACCCATCCACGCACGCCAGGTGCAGCCCAGGGAGGGACCCACAACATCCAGTGTCACTCTTGATGACGGCCGTGGTGGCGGAGCTGTCGCGGTGATCTCTTCAGCCATTTCCCCTGTTCTATCGAGTCAGTGCCGGGAAGCTGCTGCAAAGCAACGGACCAGCCCTTGTTTTAATCTCTGGCGTACGTTGCATAGAGGCTTTTTTGCATGGTTGTCCGAGGCCTACTGTGGGAAGTGGTTAAAAGGAAATTCACACCAGCAGCTATTGAGGCCATGTGACGACATAGGTAATGAATATTCTAGGATACTCTTCTCCCGTGAAGGGTAGCAAGCCGGCTTCGATTTGTCTGGTTAACCTCTTAGCTTCTAGATGTTTACCATTTTTTTTCTAGAACACACAAATCGAAAAACTATAGGCGTTGTATGTATCACTAAAAAGATTGCAAGAACAGCCACTGTGCGACTTGCTGAAGACAGTCGCTTTCGACCAAATAGACCAGTTGAGACAATGTAAAACCAGTCGCTTTGTGGCTTGAGTGTGCTAGAACGTTTACTATTGGCTTGGCAGCACTGTTTGTGTGAATACCCTGTCTCAATTACGCCTCGTTATGCGCACCTATCCTAGAAATGTGAATATCAATTACACGTGAGGTATGACGGGGTATTTCAATGAAGTGTCGCTGACTGGTGCACTAGTGAACCCTGATGAAGCATTGTTCTTTCATAAAAATGTTGCCCACACAAAGATTCCTTATGGAACGACATACTGAGACTTGAACACCAAATATTTTATCAAACATCCTTTTTGTCGAAACCCAGGGATGTTCCTAGTTCGTTTCTGGAAATGGTTCACAGAACGTCGGCAAGTATTTGAGCCACTGTTTTCTCAGAAAATCACCAGTGGTGCACAAGAGCATATGGTGCATACTTTCTGCGCGAATATTCTGAGTCTGCTGGAGGAGTGTGGTACAATGATTTAAAACACAAAGAACGGCACTTTTTCACAGAACTTTCACCACAAGGTCATCATCCCTCTAATTAAATACGTCGTTCTGATTTCCTGGTTTAGTCTACTTTGTCCATGCAAACGCTAAGTGTGGTCTGACTTTCTGCGATGTTGTTCTTTCGCCGTACTGGCCTTTCTCTTAATTTTTTGTCAGTCAACGTATGCCTAATACAGCACGTTTTTAATTTTTCTTGTTCATGTACAAAATATCTTCATTGAAAGTTTGTTGCTTAGATGTGAAATCTTGTTACTACAAAAGAAAGAAGCAGGAACACTTACATTTTAGCAGCAGGTGCCACGAATAATTTGTGCTTCGATAGACGAAAACTTCCGCTCTGGAGGGGCATTGATGTTTAAAAGCAGTCGAACAAAATTTACGAGCAAAAGGTAAAGTTATGAAAATTAAAAAGTTTATGAGCACCATGGTCACTTACCGTATTTACTGTAGCATGGCAGACTCGTCACAAAACCGGTGTTGTCAAGAGAGACATGCAGATGGTAGCACCATAACTATATCACGCACGTTGATCATCCAGTGCGGCCCGATTACCAGCCACTGAAGAAATCAGCTTCCTCTGCAAGTCACAGCCCTATCACCAACTTTAACGCTCCTAAAATAAGATGCAGCGCTGGAGAGCTCCAACACATTCAAAGAGCCTGAATATTGTCTTTACGAATGCCAAGTACAATGAATCCCCGACACAACACACTTATTGTCCGGTATAGGCAGCCGGAAGCGATGTCGTAAGCCGTGTGTCCAAGGCTTGAATCGTATCGCCTTGGTCTATGCCTTCGCACCTGAAAGTGCCACTCAGCTCGCAGCATCCGCCGTCAAAACGACGCGTGAACTTTACAGCGAAATCGCACGTCCGCCATTCCCTGTAGATTCAACCAAACATACGTTCTCGAAGCGGAGGTGTCATCAAGTAGCTCGCCACTTTCTTGAATACTGCGCACACTGCAAGCACTGGGCGCACAAATCAAACGCTTCTGTAAACAAGCCCTCTGGTACTGTGACGGCGAGGACCACGTCCTCGGAACCAGGCGAAACCAGCGGGCGCCGATCTTTTCCGCGGTCAGCTCGGTTCTCCGCGGGGCCTCGTGCAGCGCCCGGCGCCTTGTGCGCGCGCGGGTCACGCTCGCCTTGTGGGCCGCGCCAGCAGGAAAGAGAAGAAAGCCTTAACGAGAGCAGCGCGGGCTTCCTTCAAGTTGCGCAGGGGGGTCCTGACAGTAAGAGGAAGCTTCGCCTCCTCGGCTGGCGCCACCACGTGAGGCCCATACAAAGTGTTGTGTATATGCCACTTGCCTCAATTTACTCATACTTCTAAGTGGGGCACGACCATTGCGCAGAGGAGTGGCCTGGCTTTCTGACATCAGCTAAATGCGCAATGAACGCAGCGCTGCATTACGAAACGTGTGTTAATGAGTGGCTTGGTGATTTGTAATTTAGGTCTGCTCACTGAGAAAAACTACGAACAAGGCTAAAACGGGGTCGAAATTCGCATGTGGACTTTTTTAAGTGGTCGTTGTGTTGTAAGTATTTAGTTCTAAAAACCAGTAATTATCGCGAACTGTGTGTTCTATTTTATGATTTGACATAAATTAATCTTGCGACCATACATCTCTAGCATACAAGCTGTGTCTTCTGGCTCATCAAACTGTTTCTGACCCAAATCAAAGGTCACAGTGTGTCAGCCTGCTTCAGTGCAAATGTTCTGTATGTTTTACTCCGTGCGATTTGAAGTTACAAATGCAATACCGACATGAACCCATTTGCTTTCTTTTCAAATTTACAAATTACGTGGGATGCACTCCTCGTTCGTCCTTGTGCGTATATAAACGACAAGTTTCAAATATTGCTCCTATCTCAAACTAAACGAAAAGGTCAAGTGTGAGGACACATCACCATTTATATGCACAATGCAGCAACTGAGAAAACTGAAAACACATGCGTTTTCGTTTATTATAAAATTAACCAAATCTAAGTTGAAGCAGACCGAAAGCGCTCCTTTCAGTCATTAGTCAAAACTTTCTGCATTAGTTTTTAATTCTAGCGTTCACAATCTAACACGAATCAGTAGTAATGATCACACATGTTACAATAAAATGCGACAGGTATTTATTTAAATATATTTAAAGGAACCAGACCCAAGCTCAAACGTAGCTAAAATGGGCGACTAGGCCATGAATAGCTCAAACGGGCGAGTAATAATATAATTTAGATATGACACATAACACGTTTAGAACAATAGGCTATTCAAAAACGTAATTTTTAATGGTTGTATTGTGACTACGCCACATCTATTCGGGTCTTTTGGGGGACCAAAGCTTATGTGGCACAATGACTTTCAACACTGACTTAACGACAAGTGAGGTACAGACGTACAATCGCAAAAGAAACTTTTCAGCCCAGTTAAGTAACGCGCTCAATTTTACAGGATAAGGCACGCAAAGAAACACTGACAGTACAATGAAGACAAAAATCACTGGTACTATAGAAGAGCAAACACAGAATATACTACAGGGACCGTTGAGAGCCAGAGCACCTCATATGCCGACAAGCTGTTACTCAACAAGCTCGCCTCCAATGCCTTTACGGGGAGCTACGCGCTAATACCAGAGCTGATGTGAGGCATTTCTCCTTTTGGAAAACATAGCTAGCACATTCAACTAAACTTGAATTTCTCTCCCGGCTACCTCACAACAATTATACAAATGACAGATTACAGAACATCAATGCAGCATCGTCGCGTGCCACCAACATTTACACATGATAGAGGGCACGGCACATGGCCTGCAGGCAACATGTCTAAGTCGGCATTGCTGTTTATGCCGGCATTTTCATGCATTATAGGAGCGACAACTACGAGCGGCACAAACTGGCTACATTCACACGAGTCTCATCAGGTAACTGTGAGCATCAAGTGGGCGGATCAACCATGATCGGTGTTAACTGGTGGCACAAATTGGCTGCCTTTCGACGGAACCTATCAGGACTCTGAGAGAAGCACCTGGACGGCTCGTCTATCATCAGTGACGTCATCAACACCTCGCCTAGAAAAGGAGCAGCACAACTGAGGAACCCTCAGAGGGCACGGCACATGGCCTGCAGGCAACATGTCTCAGTCGGCATTGCTGTTTATGCAGGTTCGTTACCTCTCTAACACAGCATGCTGTAATAGTGACAATCGATTTTTTTTTGTGATTGCCGTGCCCTCGCATTTGTATTGCTTGTGTCGTTGATTGCTGGTCTGCGGTGTTCATGTTTTAAAGTCTGGTGATGTTGAGGAAAATTCGGGGCCAAGGACTGCTTATATGTTGGAGCAAATCTTAGAAAAACAGGTAGCATCCGAAACCAAGATAGATGCTATGTGGAAAGAAATATCCGATTTAAATACTAAAACTGAAAAGTTGACGGACTATTTTAAAGTTATTGAAGAAATGAGTGAGTGAATCAGCAGTCGGAAAGCGATAGTTAGGCAACAAGAACAGAAGTTAATTGATTATGGAAACAGGAGTAGACGTAATAATCTACTCGTTTTCGGCCTACCGGAAGTTGCTGGTGAAACCAGGTCAGACCTGATGGAAACTGTTGTTCATAAACTTTTTGATGCAAAATTGTGTATTAGAGTAAAATCAGTTGACCAAATTCACCGGCTCGGCAAGCAAAAACCAAATAGCTCAAGACCGGTCATCGTCAATTTTTACGATCAACGCGAAAGAGAAAGTGTGCTAAAAAACTGTAAAAAATTGAAGGGGACTACTATTAGTGTCAGCAATGATTACGTAAAGGAAACTGTCTACGCTAGGAAAAAGTTATGGCAAAGCTGCGAAATCGAAAGCGTAAAGAGAGCAAAAGTAAAGTTGATTCATGATAAGCTTAAAGTGAACGGCGAGTTTTATCGTAGCATCAGGCACGAAATATTCGTATTCAATGTACCCCGTTTCACAAGCAACAAAAAGATAAAAACTAACGTAAACACAGCACTGCACCTTCGCTCTTAGCAGCTTGAGTGTGTCAAAACTGACAGATAGAAGTGGCACAAAATCGTCTGAGACGGCACGTTCATAGCTGAGAATTCTTTCACTGAATGCGCGAAGCATTGTAAATAAAGTAACAGATTTAAAAATCTTGTTGATTACACACAGCCCCCATGTTTTTGTCTTAACGGAGACATGGTTGAATAATGCTATAACGGATAACTGCATCCTACCGCCAGGATACAAGATTTTCCGGTGGGACAGGGACACCCGAGATGTCGGTGTGGCGATGATAATTAAAAACAACATAGCGGCAACGACAGTACATTGCCAGTTGCCAGAAACAGTGTGGTGCAAGGTGAATTGCGCTAATCATACGCATCTCATTGCAGCCGTCTACAGACCACCTGGAAGTCCACCCGAGTTTTTAGAAGAATTAAATATGTTTTTGTGTGATCATGTAAATGGAAAAAAAAGGCTGATAATGGCTGGTGACTTTAATTTAGCGTATATAAATTGAGTAAGCCTTCAAACTGGTCATGCAGAAACCCGTAGTGCTGATAGAATATTAGAGCTGATGTTTTCCCATAACCTCACTCAAATCGTAAAATATTATACACGTGTTACCCCTAAGTCACAGTCATTGTTAGACTTGGTTTTCATATCGAGTAGAGTGACTGATTATGCCGTATCAGTTGACATATCATACCATATCAGACCACAGAATGGTTGCAGTTTACGTATTTTTTGATAACGGCTTTCGAGCAAAGCGTCATGTCTATGCACATAATAAAGATTACGATCGTGCTCATGATACGGCAATCCTCGATTTTTTAAAAATGTCTCTAGGCGAATTTGATTGATTGATTGATTGATTGATATGTAGGGTATAACGTCCCAAAACCACCATATGATTATGAGAGACGCCGTAGTGGAGGACTTCGGAAATTTTGACCACCTGGGGTTCTTTACGTGCACCCAAATCTGAGCACACGAACCTACAACATTTCCGCCTCCATAGGAAATGCAGCTGCCGCAGCCGGAATTCGATCCCACGTCCTGTGGGTCAGCAGCCGAGTACCTTATCCACTGGACCACCGCGGCAGGGCCGTTTGGCGAATTTCAGAAGTCATCAAAACTTGAGTCCGTTGAACAGCTCTAGAAACATTTTAAGAATATTTTAGGTTACTGTTCAGACAACTACATACCCATACGCGTTAAAAAGACGAAACAAAGAAATCCATGGATAAGTAAGAAAATAATTCACATGAAGCGTAAACTAAAAAGACTGCGCAGAACTTATAGTGCCTCGACAGAAATATCATGTGCTAAGAAGAACTTGAAAGCCGAGATATCGCAATCCAAAGAAAAATTTTTCAATAACACACTCACTAACTTTCTAAAGAACTCGCCTCGTAAGTTTTGGCTGAGGGAATTGATCTTATTGTAGATGGAAATGAAGTAATCACAGAAAAGTCAGATATAGCTGAAAGACTCAACGAGGAAATTAAATCAGATACTAAGGTGAAACTTCAGGAAGATGATATAAATATTAACCAAAAAGGTATATTCAATCGACTACTTCTTTTAGATACCAAAACATGATGTGGACCTGGCGGTATATCGAATCAATTTTTGCGACGATTTGCGGAGTGGCTGTCGTACTACCTAGTGATTATTTTCGAGAAATCTTTAAAATGCCACTAGTTACCTCAACATAGGCGTAGAATAACTATTGTCCCAATTTTGAAAGGTGTTGATAGAACATCATTGAACAATTATACGCCTGTCTCATTCACGTTGGTATGCTGTAAAACACTGGAACATATAGTGGCAAAAATATTAGGCAATTTTTAGAACAAAAAGAATTATTCTGCCCCTTTCAGCATGGATTTCGCGGTGGCCTTTCAACAGTCACACAACTGATTGAAACTATACATGACTTGTGTATCGCTGTGAATGCCTGTATGCAAATCGATGTTATATGTATCGATTTTTAGAAGGCGTTCGACAGAGTTTCACACCGTAAGCTGCTATTCAAGCTTCGCAATGTCGGTATTAGTGAGAATGTTCTCAGTTGGATCAGAGCTTATTTAGGCAATCGACAACAAGCAGTTAGAGTGGGAGGTGCTATGTCGGAAAATCGGGAGGTGTATTCGGGAGTGCCTCAAGGATCTGTATTGG